CTAAGGAGTGGCTCCGTAAGAAGCATCTCAAGGTCCTGGAGTGGCCTAGCCAGTCTCCAGACCTGAATCCAATAAAAAATCTTTGGAGGGAGCTGAAAGTCCGTATTGCCCAGCGACAGCCCCGAAACCTGAAGGATCTGGAGAAGGTCTGTATGGAGGAGTGGGCCAAAATCCCTGCTGCAGTGTGTGCAAACCTGGTCAAGACCTACAGGAAACGTATGATCTCTGTAATTGCAAACAAAGGTTTCTGTACCAAATATTAAGTTCTGCTTTTCTGATGTATCAAATACTTATGTCATGCAATAAAATGCTAATTAATTACTTAAGAATCATACAATGTGATTTTCTGGATTTTTGTTTTAGATTCCGTCTCTCACAGTTGAAGTGTACCTATGATAAAAATGACAGACCTCTACATGCTTTGTAAGTAGGAAAACCTGAAAAATCGGCAGTGTATCAAATACTTGTTCTCCCCACTGTATATCCATCCTGCCCTACCTTTCGAAAGTATTTGAAAGCCAAGTTAACAAACAGATCACTGACCATTTCGAATCCCACCGTACCTTATTCGCTATGCAATCTGGTTTCCAAGCTGGTCATGGGTGCACCTCAGCCACGCTCGAGGTCCTAAACGATATAATAACCGTGATCGATAAAAGACAGTACTGTGCAGCGGTCTTCATCGACCTGGCCAAGGCTTTTGACTCTGTCAATCACTGCATTCTTATTGGCAGACTAAATAGCCTTGGTTTCTCAAATGACTGCCTCGCCTGGTTCACCAACTACTTCTCAGATAGAGTTCAATGTGTCAAATCGGAGGGCCTGTCGTCTGGACCTCTGGTAGTCTCTATGGGGGTGCCACAGGGTTCAATTCTCAGGCTGACTCTATTCTCTGTGTATATCAATGATGTCGCTCTTGCTGCTGGTGACTCTCAGATAAACCTCTATGCAGACGACACCATTTTGTATACATCTGTCCCTTTACTGGACACTGTGTTAACAAACCTCCAAACGAGCTTCAGTGCCATACAACACTCCTTCCGTGGCCTCCAACTGTTCTTAAATGCTAGTAAAACTAAATGCATGTTCTTCAATCGAACGCTGCTTGCACCCGCCCGACTAGAATCACTACTCTCGGCAGGTCTGACTTAGAATATGTGGACAACTACAAATATCTAGGTGTCTGGTTAGACCGTAAACTCTCCTTCCAGACTCACATTAAGCATCTCCAATCCAAAGTTAAATCTAGAATCGGCTTCCTATTTCGCAACAAAGCCTCCTTCACTCATGCTGCTAAACATGCCCTCGTTAAACTGACTATCCTACCGATCCTTGACTTCGGTGATGTCATTTACAAAATAGCTTCCAACACTCTACTCAGCAAATTGGATGTAGTCTATCACAGTGCCATCCGTTTTGTCACCAAAGCCCCATATACTACCCACCATTGTGACTTGTACGCTCTCGTTGGCTGGCCCTCACTACATATTCGTCGCCAAACCCACTGGCTCCAGGTCATCTATAAATCACTTCTAGGCAAATCCCTGCCTTATCTTAGATCATTGGTCACCATAGCAACACCCACCCGTAGTATGCGTTCCAGCAGGTATATCTCACTGGTTATCCCCAAAGCCAACACCTCCTTTCGCCGCCATTCCTTCCAGTTCTCTGCTGCAAATTACTGTAACGAACTGAAAAAATCTCTGAAGCTGAGACACTTATCTCACTCACTAACTTTCAGCATCAGTTGTCAGAGCATCTTACCGATCACTGCACCTGTACACAGCCCATCTGTCATTAGCCCACCCAACTACCTCATCCCCATATTGTTATTTACATTGTTATTTATTTTGCTCATTTGCACCCCAGTATCTCTATTTGCACATCATCATCTGCACATCTATCACTCCAGTGTTAATAATAAATTGTAATTATTTTGCACTATGGCCTATTTATTGCCTTACCTCCATAACGTTCTACATTTGCACACACTGTATATAGATTTTCTATTGTGTTATTGACTGTCCGTTTTGTTTATTCCATATGTAACTCTGTGTTGTTGTTGTTGTTATTATCGCACTGCTTTGCTTTATCTTGGCCAGGTCGCAGTTGTAAATGAGAACTTGTTCTCAATTGGCTTACCTGGTTAAATAAAGGTTTAAAAAAAAAGAGAAACACCAATGCCATCCTCCTCGCTTTCATTTTGACGAAACGGTCTATCACTCTGTTATACAGTACACACTTTTATTTTTTGTTGTCCTAGACTACCTGGCTAAAATGCTTGCTCACTAGCATAACTTCTATTCATGGGCAACGTTAGCTAGTTAAAATTAGTCTTCTAGGCCTACAACTAGCTACATATTGAACTTCCATCCTCTTAGGCCAGGGGCACAACAATGTATGAATTAATGGTTGGATCAGAATCGCCTTTTTAATTATTGGAGAATTAAGTAAAACCACAAGTCCAAATCCCTATCTCCCTCCATGGCTAATTTAGGAAACGGCCAATTTTAGCTAGCTGGCTAGCTAGCCACCGGAGGACAACAACACAATGAGATGTAACAATTAAAGTTTTTCTGTCAATGACATATGCTCTCAATGGGATTTGATAGGAGTGACAAAATCCAAACTGGCTTCCTTTGACACTTTTTTTGGTGCGCCAGGACCATTCATAGTTGAGCTCTCTCAGTTTAGCTCAAGGCTGATTGGCTAATTTTTTATACTTTTTTTTTGTCAAGGTAGGCCAGATGCTTGCTGGCTTCCCTTGTCTTTAATGCTACGCGCGGCAACAATGTCATACTCATTTGGACCAGACAGCATCAGATAGATGGCCTACACGTAGAGAGACAGAGGGGCGCTGTTTCGCTCGCTCGGATGCTTTCTCATGTGAGATATATTCAGCATCTTGCGAATTTAAGCAAAACTATGAAACACAAAGACGACATTTTTTTGGGAAGCCTGGTTTTCCCTTGGCATCCATGAATACACGCCACTGATTAGCGCTGTATTCCAAGCATGTCTTCAACCCAAATCCCTGATCTGTTAGTCCAACACATTTTCCATTGCGCAAAACAGCAAAGGACATGTGCACCTAGCCTCCTGCTTCCTCCCTCCAGAATTTCTAGTCTATCATGTGACTTTATCAGCAGGCTTCTTTGGTCTGATTGGGCACCATCCCACCCCTAGCAAAGTATTCACAAGGGGATTATGCACTTCCTTTGCTAACAAATATATTACCCAAATAGCCTATCACAAACAAGTGAACATTTACCCAGAAGTAATTACCTTACATTGTATTATTATTATTTTAAAGGGTGCAATCTACATTTGTAAAAATTTATTTTCATAATAATCTTCTCACTGACAGGCTGACAGAACAAAACACCAGGAAGAGATGGTTCAGTGAACAGTAGCTATTTGGAGGGTAAAATGAAGTGTAATCTTGTTATGACTCCCTCGAACAGTTATAACACTGTTATAAACTATGAAGCTGCATGTACTGAAAGTAACAGTAAAAATATATAATATATAATAAAATATAATGTAATAAAACACTTTTGGATAGTATACTTAAACCGTGTCTCTGTCATATAGGCTAAGCGGTGCATGAGCCATTTTTCATCCGTTCTGGTAGGCTACTCTGTTGAACAGCTCTCACTCAGCTCTGCGTAATCCCCGGATGAAGCTGTCATGGCTGCCATTCGCTGAGCTGTCAAGCCAACGAAACAAAGGTAAAAACCAACCGAAGTCTCGAAATATGTCGTCGTTGTCAATTGTATTGGAGTTTTACTCAGCGGTAAATACACTTTGGTTGAGATACATTGATGATATTAACTTTTCGTCGTGCAATTTTTCTGTACACTTTCTCACAACACAAGCTGTTCATGTGTATTTAATTCAAGTCAATCAACTGGCAAATCAGCCAGCCGTTCGAAAGCTCATACTTCAGAGTAAATGTTTTACAAGCCAGTGAGGTAAAGGTGATGATGAGTGATGGTCGAAAAAATATGAATTGCTTTAAAACAATAAATTAACGCGTTTGTTTGTTACATGTTAATGAAGCTTCTCAGTCTGTTTGTTTTGGTCAAGTCAAATAGCACAATAGAAATGGCTGACAGCTTTTGACCTGATGCAAAATTGACATTCTGTAATAACTTTTGTGCGGCAAGCAAACAATTTAGCATAGAATATTTTCATCTACTGAGACCCCATTAGGATATAATCTGAACAGGTGGGCTTTAGCATATAATATTTTCTTCTACTGAGACCCATTACAAATGCAATTTTTGTCAGATTTTGTGAATTATTGCAAGTCCTTTGGTCAGTCACATTGAGAAATTTACATGGCACATCATTTGGGTAAAAAAGAATGGAGTAATACATTTCCACTATAGTAAATAGTCTGAAATGTAATTACATTGAATCTGCAACAGGTGGATCAGGTTGACCCATGATGTGGGTTATGTTGTGAGATCATTCACTACACAGGCAATAAATCACGCAGGGAGGCTACAGAGTAGTTTTGAATTGAGAATATTGTAGGCTACTAGCCTTATAGTGAAGACTACTGTACTACAAGAGTTTGCACTGATGTGCACTTATTGACTGTGGTAATAACAAAGGCAAACACAGCATCATTCTTGTATAATTGATTGCAGATCAGGATAATTTGATCCCCATTTCAAACATACATCCTAACATGGTATTTTCTCAGGTCAGGTCTCTGTGTGGGCTGTAGACTACATTCCGAGGGGACATTTGCATATGATCTTTGATGGTTGCCAGTTTATAGACCAGGAAATTGTTAAGTTGGTGAAAATGTTTTGTGCTGGGCTATTTACGCATCTTCTCTCAAAAATATAAAACCAAGTTAAATCAATATTTTTGACTGTTTATGTTTTTACAATGAGGTCAGAAGTTCAATGTCTATAATGAATTTCTGGCTTGCAAATCAATTGTTGATTGTTTATTTTAACTCTGTTACAGAGGCCTGAATTGACATGGATCCAGCACACGCTGAATTTGATGTCCCTGCTGGAGGTAATATAAAAGTTGTCGATGATGACAGAAACTGGAACAAACGACTCCGTCTCAGGAAAGCTGCCGTTCAGCCCCCAGCAATGCAAAGTGAAGATAAGCATGGGCCAAAGAAGATAACAGAGGACAAGGAGAAAAGCACAGAGCAGACGTATTTGAAGAAGACGCCCCTTAAAGCACAAGAGAGTCAACATGTGACAAAGGTTTCTGGAAATATACTTGGGTTTAGATGCTCTGAATGCAAGGACAGCACAGAATTCAGCCCTAATGATTTACTGAGGCACTTTCAGGAGACACACCCAGGAAGCCAACCAATTTTTCCTTGTGACATGTGCAGTTTTATTACACATGAATTCTCCCGCCTTAAAGTCCACCAATTAGGCCACAGAGACACTTTTGTCAGCTGCAACATATGCAATGACAATGTCCAGCACACTCTCTTGCAGCTCACCACACATTTAAACATGCACCACAGCTTGAACGGCCACTACTGTTGCGAGAAGTGCAAGTTCTCCACAAGAGATGTAGGAGCATTTTTGGAGCACATGTATCTACATAACATTGTGCCGCAAACAGGTCCTGCTGACCAGGATTTGCTGAGACATCTCATGGCCAAAACAGCACAAATCCCCTTCAGTTGCCAGTTCTGTGACTATAAATCGCATCGAAAAGATATCATCACAAAGCACATGGCCACCATTCATGATGAAGAGAAGAGCCAGAAAAACAACCCGAAAATGAAAGATGTTGGTCCTAAAACAGTAGATAACTCATCTCTACGACTGAAGCACACAGTGACAAGGAGTACAGTGAGGGAAAATAACTGGATGTCACAAGGCTGTCTTTCTCTGCCGGGGGAAGGATTCCTGGATAAATATTGCAGACTGTCAAATCCAGAGAGGGCTTTGGAGGAGACCCAACTATTTTTAGAGAAGTCTGTGGCTGCTGAAACAGGTGGGCAGACATGGAGCGAAGCTCTTAAGACTGTACTTTCAAATGTACCCCAAGCCATCACTCCCTTTTCAAACTCAGACAACTGCATGATATCCAATCCTGGATTCCCAAACACAGACAAAGACCTCACTGTCCTCATGCTCAAAAATAAGATTTCAGTTCCTCCGGATGTCACTACTGAAGCGATTGGTTTCAAAATGGTGGAAGGCAAAAAACATTTGGTTCTCAAGGTTACACCATCAGCAAAGCAAGAGACCTCTGACACAACAAAGACGTCATTGTGTGTCACTGAGCAGGAATCAGAGAAGATTGCTTCTCAAACTAGTGCTGGGGACTCCAATGCAAACGGATGCCAATCAAATTCAATTATCCCTCCAAAGACCACGCCACCCAGCTGTCCAGAATCATTCTTGACACAAAATGATGTTGCCACTATTTCAACCCTAAACAAGTTAGTAGAATATGATAAAACTCAAGAAAATAGAGAGAACCAGGAAACAAGGGTTGGCCAGGAACACAGAGAACACCAGAGAAATGACGCAGAACCCAAAGATGTGAATCACTGTGAAGATACGGCAAAGGACATCAAAGTGTCGAAGTTGACAATGGAGAAAAGTGAGAAAAAGCTAAAATCATTTCCTGAAGCTCTGTGCTCTTCCAAGACAATGGGGGACAAAAAAAGGAGGCGAACGAAAGTGGTCAGCCCTAAAACTGTAGAGAAAAAATCATCACCAGCATTAAAGCTCCTCCTGAAGAAGAACCCGGTTAAGGAAATGCAGTGGATGTCACAAGGTCCTCTTCCCCTGTTAGGAGGAGGTTTGCTGAATAATTACCACAGACTAGAGCACCCACAGAAAACTTTGGAGGAGACGCAGCAATTTCTTAAAAGGGCACTGTCAGCGGAAAATGGCGAAGAGAAACATACCAACTCCAAAGTGGTCACTAGGTCGTCAAAGTCAGAGGGAGGCCTTATTCCAAACCTTGGAAATTTCAGCCCCAGAGGTAACAACCTTAGTGCCCTCATGGTAAAAAATAAGATTTTAGTTCCTCCCAATTGCACTACAGAGGCCATGGGTTTCAAAATGGTGGACGGCAAAAAACATTTGGTTCTTAAGGTTACACCATCAGACAAAACAGAGGCATCCTTGCATTCCATTGAGACAAAGGAAGATAACACTGCATCTGAAAGTTGCACTATGAGCCAGAAAAGTTTAGTCGTTGTCGAGAAAAGTCAGCCAAGTTCTAAAATCCCTCCAAGCAACCCAACAAAGAGTAGCCTAGAATATCATTTTGAAAATGTGGAGCTTCCAAACACTAATGTCAGTTCTGAAAACACAGGAGGAATTAACAATGGCATGGATTCTCATGTCCTAGATTGCCAAGATTGTCCAAGGGTAGGCCTACCTCATGTATCTAATGGAGCCAAATCAGCTGGAAATTATTTGGGCCAGATCATGGAGGAGAAGTTGGAGGCTGTGAACTGTCATCAGCCTGACCTGGAAGGGGTTGGAACTACAGAAGCTCAGGTCATCATGATGTCTCCCTCCCCCATACTAAATTTCCTTACTTCCCCACAAGGTAATCAACACTATCTTCCTGAAGTTAATTAAACCTGATTTGTTAAATGTATTTCCCTTATTTACTTCTTATTACCTGTCATGCATGATTCTGTCCATGCCATTCTGCTGTATGGATAGACAATAAATGGAGTGAACATTATTGTAGCAGTTTACTTCACTTTTTAATGGACTAATTGTGATTTGTTCTCTTTTTTAATATTTCAACAGGTATAACAAACTGGTCAGAGATTCCGGTCCACACTCCAGACGTTTGTTCTCAGGACTTCCCTCCCAATACCACACTAAGATATGGAGGAAAACAGGAGGGCTTTGACAGGATTTCCCTCTCACCACAGCAAAGTGAACATACAATCAGAGGAAAGAGGCAGAGTGAACTGTCCACAGAGGACTCTCCTGAGCCCCTCTCAAAAGCCAATAAACCCTCCAGAAAAGTTGTGGGAGAAGAAGAGGCTTCACCAGCAGCGGTGCATCACTGGGAGCCAGGCCCTAGAGATGTGGAGAGGACCCTGAAGCTATTGCCATTAAGTCCCACTCAACTCATTACACGTCCAAGGGGAGACCAGCCTGTTGTAGTGCTAAATCACCCAGACACAGACATTCCCGAGGTTACAAATATCATGGAAACAGTCCACAGGTACAAAGGGGAGGTCCAAAAAGTTGTGCTGTCTCGAAAAACATTGAAGGCCCTTGCAGGCATGGGTTGTGATATGTTTAGGGCGAATACCTGCACCTCTCATCAACGTGAGTGGCCTGAGAGCAGAGTGAAAGAGAGATTCATCTTGAAATTGAAGCTGAAAAAGATGAGCAGAAAGAAGTACAAAGTGGTGAATGCAATCTCCCACAGCACTGAGCCGCCATTAAGATTTAGCTGCTGGTTTTGTGGCCGAGTCTTCAGTGATCAGGAGGTCTGGATTGGACATGGCCAGCGCCATCTGATGGAATCTACTAGAGAGTGGGATAAACTGGAATGTGAAAAGTCCTAAATGTCATCTACACTGGATACAAAGTTGAGAAAGGTGCTCCTGCACAAAAGCGATGGACAAAAAAGATGATAGATGGAAATTATCTTAATTTCACTGTCTTATTAGAGAAATAATGTTGATAATGATGACAAAATAATAGTGTACAAAATCTATGTAACAACGTGAGTTCTTTGAAAATACAGGGCTCTAACACTCAGGTAATTTTTGCATTTTATTTTGGATGTTTATTTTTTCCTTTGCTCATATCTAAGTATTTAATTTGAAACCCACTTATGTTTCAGTGCTATCATCGTTTTAGATAGGATGCAATCTATTTGTTGTTTCAGTTATGTCTAGCCAAGATGCAATGCTATATAAGTTGATATAAGTACATTGTCATAGGGACTCTTTCACAGAACACTGTAATAAGGACACAAATGAGCCATACTCCTAGAAGCTCTAAACATGAACATGTAATATTATACGGGTATGTATAGTGTGTGTGTGGAATGATTATATTTTTGGGAGGGGATGGCAAGTTTCCAATGTTACTAGGCTATACCAACATTGTTTGAAAAGCTATTTTATTTGTCATGTTATTTCAGATTTTCAGATGTACACTGTGTTGACTTTTTTCCCTCTGTGATTGGTCATAGAAAAGAGTGAATGTGTTTGTTTTTGTTTGAATGCATACAGTACGTACCAAAAATATTAATGGTTTCAATTATAGTAGTATCCATGTGTGTGGCACATTTTGTTAAGTTAGTCCTGCACTAGTAGCAGGAGTTGTCCAAAGAATATACCTTTTTATCATTTAACAAAATCCATAATATGTTATAGGATGACTGATGGCATGTGTGCATATAGCCTAACAATGCTGGTTTTACATGCAAAAATATTGTTTTTCTGAAAGGAATTCCTATTGTGATGTTTTTATAATTGCATTATGAACAGACAGTGAATATTTCTTCCCATTACCTCACTTTATGAAGCTTATGAAAATCTTGATATGCATGTTACTGTATGTTTCCTTATGTTCTGATGATTTCACAGTATCCATGGCAAAGGGATACTTCTAGTTAGTCAGCCCAGGACCATTGGTCAAATGGACCGAAATCATAAGTACACATAGCACATCTTTCTGACCATACCCTTTCTGCTTGCACACGTCAGCATTAGTCACCCACCATTTCTTTCTGCATTTAAACAGAAAATTACTGGTTTGTAGTAGTATTGAGAAGTCAGGAAAAGAGGTACAATTTTGACTTAAGAAACATTTGTTTTTCACGAAGTGCCTGACCATTACACAATGAATATGTATTTATCTTGATACACACCTGGTAGCATTATGTGTTGAACAGATCAATAAATACAAATAGTTTGACAATATATGTGTGATTATTGAATATGTATATGTATGTAAGTCAAGTAGCACAATTAAGAAAGGTATACCAATAATTTTGAGTTTATTGAACACAACTAAAGAATAAAGTATAAAACGCAATGTTGCATACATTTCTTTGTTCAACTGGTGTTGCTTTCCAGCATCGTACACCATTCATACTTACTGTAGTTACTTTCTAGTTATAATATTTCTACAAGATTTTATTCTTTAAGAATACATAATGGCACTGTCTGAGGGGCCATGCTTGGTGGAAAGACCCCATAGAATGCAAAATGTTCAACACAAGTTTGAAAATGTACACACATTAACTATTTTACTGAATTGGCACAGTACCATTCTCGGAAACCCGACCCTAGGCAACAGCAGTGACTAGGGTCTGGGAATCATGACGGACTGACTTAGTAACTTCAAAAAGGGGGAAAAAATGGTTCCAGGAGGGTCCTCTTCAGACAGACACCTCTCCCATCAAATCACGATACAAAGTTTGCAGGCAAAACCTTTGCAGTGGTTTTAGTGAAGGTAGTTGATGCAAACCAGCCACTTACGAAACGCACTCATTAAAAATAACCTCTGTGATCTTCGTCTTGATAGCTACTATTTTGTGTCCGGGGGATGTGGGCAACAGGCGGAGAAGGCAGTGATGTAGTCCCTCTATGCCAAACTGACGTTATATTACGTACAGACGTGTTAAGCTGGAGCATTGGTACATTGCCAGAAGCAACCTGTCTGTCTAGAGAGACTAGCACATTACAGTAAGTCAATTTCATTCTGGTCTTGCTTGAATAGCCATGGCTGGTGAATGTAACTAGACTAATCCAACTGTTTCTCACAAACCCTGAACAGATGGTCTATAATATCAGACTGAGAGCAGCATCAAATTGCCTGTTGACTTGCACACAGGTCTTACACTAGACGCACTGATTTGGGATGTGACTGCAAGTCCGAACCTTAAATCCCTGATGGTCCATAGGACTAGTTAGGGTTTAGCGAGGCCTAAGGTTTCACAGCATAGCACAGTTTGGTAGAGTCTTTGGTGTTACTCTGGCTGTCAATCAGTACCAGGGGGTTCCTCTGATGGTTCTCAATGATGTTGGAAACACTGGTGAAATGCTGAGGGAATACAATAAGAGGTGTCAGGCCTATAGGTTAGCAATCAGGCCATCAATATTACATTGATATCAGAAACGTGTTTTGTAGCCCATAGAGCATGATGAGATTCTGTCTACCTCCTCTCCTTTCTTCTCCCTTCCAAGAGCGTATCGCTGCGATGCTTGGATGTAGCGCACTGGGATGTTGTAGACTCTACTGTTGTAATACACCACTAAAGTGTATGGCTGCTGTGTGTCCTGACCAGAGCTCTTCCTTATTAGGAATGACCCATCCTGAAACAAAGGATATACACAGTACAGTTAGTTGGAGCAATCAAAGTCTAATTTTTATCCTAACCCCATGATTTCGTTTATAAAAAAATGCAAGTTTATCTTAAGACTGTGATTATAATAAGAGTATGTTTAATTGTCCGTATTCCGGTGAGTGAGACTCGCCTTATTTGAGCGAACCAAAGCATCCTCAGCTGTCTTACGATCACAGGTGCTGGCATACCAGGGTTTCTTCAAGACATCTGTCCCCTACAACAACCACAAAAATACAGAAACAAGAAAGTGTGTTTAAAGCCAAGTCCATGTGGCGCTTATATCCTTTGCAATTTTCACAAACTTTAATAGTGTATTCATCCATGCATTGTGCATGTCATAACCAGTATTTTGAGCTACATCATAGTATGTTATACATAAAATAGTGAAATTTTGGTCAGGTCTTTATCACCTCTTCAGTGTCTGTTAACCCGTTTTCAGCTGTGGGTACAGTTCCTCTGTCAGGTTCTGGGAATTAGAAAACAGTAAATAACAAAAAAACAAAATAAACATTTCGTTTGTATGGACACAGCAGAATCCATTTACAGAATAAATATTTGCTGTGTTGTGTCACTGTCAGGGTCAAGGTTATGGTCATCTGCCTGTGGCCATTCACATATAATTTATAATCAATATGAGACACAAGTCTCTCAGACCTGTACTTACTGTGAGAGGTAAACATCTGTGGCAGAGGAATCCTGCAGTAGAGAAAATAAGAACATTCCAGGAGAATTTATATTGGTCTTGACCCATGTCGGTTTGTGCAGTTTTGCTAACTCTGCAAGACAGTACACACAGATCTGGGACCAGGCTATAAAGAGATACAGTGCTATGAAAAAGTATTTGCCCCCTTTCTAATTTTCTCTACTTTTGCATATTTGTGATACTGAATGTTATCAGATCTTCAACTAAAACCTAATATTAGATAAAGGGAACATAAGTGAACAAATAACACAACAATTACATATTTATTTCATAAACAAAGTTATGCAACACCCAATTCCCCTGTGTGAAAAAGTAATTGCCCCCTTACACTCAATAACTGGTTGTCCCACCTTTAGCTGCAATGACTCCAACCAAATGCTTCCTGTAGTTGTTGATCAGTCTCTCACGTCGCTGTGGAGGAATTTTGGGCCACTCTGCCATGCAGAACTGCTTTAACTCAGTGACGTGTGGGTTTTCAAGCATGAACTGCTCGTTTCAAGTCCTGCCACAACATCTCAATTGGGATTAGGTCTGGACTTTGACTAGGCCATTCCAAAACGTCAAATTTGTTGTTTTTTAGCAATTTTCATGTAGACTTGATTGTGTGTTTTGGATCATTGTCTTGCTGCATGACCCAGCTGCGCTTCAGCTTCAGCTCACAGACGGATGGTCTGACATTCTCCTGTAGAATTCTCTGATACAGAGCAGAATTCATGGTTCCTTCTATTAAGGCGTCATCCAGGTCCTGAGGCAGCAAAGCATCCCCAAACCATCACACCACCACGACCATGCTTGACCTTTGGTATGATGTTCTTACTGTGGAATGCAGAGTTTGGTTTTCGCAAGGCATTACTGGAACCATGTCGTCCAAAAAGTTATACTTTTGAATCATCTGTCATAGAACGTTCTTCCAAGAGTCTTGATGATCATCCAGGTGCTTTTTGGCAAACTTGAGTCAACTTCTTGGACGAGATGGGTCCCATTATGCCTGCCGAAAACCAAACACTGCATTCCACAGTAAGAACATCATACATGAAAATTGCTAAAAAAAAATAAAAAAATTCGGAAATTTTGGAATGGCCTAGTCAAAGTCCAGACCTAATCCCAATTGAGATGTTGTGGCAGGACTTGAAACGAGCACGTCACTGAGTTAAAGCAGTTCTGCATGGAAGAGTGGGCCAAAATTCCTCCACAGCGACGTGAGAGACTGATCAACAACTACAGGAAGCATTTGGTTGGAGTCATTGCAGCTAAAGGTGGGGCAACCAGTTATTGAGTGGGGGGCAATTACTTTTTCACACAGGGGAATTGGGTGTTGCATAACTTTGTTTATGAAATAAATATGTAATTGTTGTGTTATTTGTTCACTTATGTTCCCTTTATCTAATATTAGGTTTTGGTTGAAGATCTGATAACATTCAGTATCACAAATATGCAAAAGTAGAGAAAATTAGAAAGGGGGCAAATACTTTTTCATAGCATTGTACAGTGGGGAAAAAAAAGTATTTAGTCAGCCACCAATTGTGCAAGTTCTCCCACTTAAAAAGATGAGAGAGCCCTGTAATTTTCATCATAGGTACAAGTCAACTAGGACAGACAAAATGAGGAAAAGAAATCCAGAAAATCACATTGTAGGATGTTTTATGAATTTATTTGCAAATTATGGTGAAAAATAAGTATTTGCTCAATAACAAAAGTTTCTCAATAGTTTGTTATATACCCTTTGTTGGCAATGACACAGGTCAAATGTTTTCTGTAAGTCTTCACAAGGTTGTCACACACTGTTGCTGGTATTTTGGCCCATTCCTCCATGCAGATCTCCTCTAGAGCAGTGCTGTTTTGGGGCTGTCGCTGGGCAACACAGACTTTCAACTCCCTCCAAAGATTTTCTATGGGGTTGAGATCTGGAGACTGGCTAGGCCACTCCAGGACCTTGAAATGCTTCGTACGAAGCCACTCCTTCGTTGCCCGGGCGGTGTGTTTGGGATCATTGTCATGCTGAAAGAACCAGCCACGTTTCATCTTCAATGCCCTTGCTGACGGAAGGAGGTTTTCACTCAAAATCTCACGATACATGGCCCCATTCATTCTTTCCTTTACACGGATCAGTCGTCCTGGTCCCTTTGCAGAAAAACAGCCCCAAAGCATGATGTTTCCACCCCCATGCTTCACAGTAGGTATGGTGTTCTTTGGATGCAACTCAGCATTCTTTGTCCTCCAAACACGACGAGTTGAGTTTTTACCAAAAAGTTATATTTTGGTTTCATATGACATTCTCCCAATCCTCTTCTGGATCATCCAAATGCACTCTAGCAAACTTCAGACGGGCCTGGACATGTACTGGCTTAAGCAGGGGGACACGTCTTGCACTGCAGGATTTGAGGCCCTGGCGGCGTAGTGTGTTACTGATGGTAGGCTTTGTTACTTTGGTCCCAGCTCTCTGCAGGTCATTCACTAGGTCCCCCCGTGTGGTTCTGGGATTTTTGCTCACCGTTCTTGTGATCATTTTGACCCCACGGGGCGAGATCTTGCGTGGAGCCCCAGATCGAGGGAGATTATCAGTGGTCTTGTATGTCTTCCATTTCCTAATAATTGCTCCCACAGTTGATTTCTTCAAACCAAGCTGCTTACCTATTGCAGATTCAGTCTTCCCAGCCTGGTGCAGGTCTACAATTTTGTTTCTGGTGTCCTTTGACAGCTCTTTGGTCTTCGCCATAGTGGAGTTTGGAGTGTGACTGTTTGAGGTTGTGAACAGGTGTCTTTTATACTGATAACAAGTTCAAACAGGTGCCATTAATACAGGTAACAAGTGGAGGACAGAGGAGCCTCTTAAAGAAGAAGTTACAGGTCTGTGAGAGCCAGAAATCTTGCTTGTTTGTAGGTGACCAAATACTTATTTTCCACCATAATTTGCAAATAAATTCATTAAAAATCCTACAATGTGATTTTCTGGATTTTTTTTTCTCAATTTGTCTGTCATAGTTGACGTGTACCTATGATGAAAATTACAGGCCTCTCTCATCTTTTTAAGTGGGAGAACTTGCACAATTGGTGGCTGACTAAATACTTTTTTTCCCCACTGTATGTGCATGGTGCAAAATAGAGATATTTCTTATGAAGTCATGATGTTTCTTACTTGGCACGTTTGTATTCAGAGGGCTGGGGTGTGGCCGTGAGTTTCTGGGTAATGTGCCTCGTGGGCAGTGCTGGGCCTGTGGAAAAGCAGACATAGCAAGAGAGTGTGTTACAGTAGTCTACTATTATGCAAGTGGATGACTGCATAAACACTTTCTGGATTTAACAACTTACAGCAATTTACAGACATGTCATTTATTTCATTGTGTGCGCTATGTACTGTAATGCATTTCATATGCATAAAATATTATGAAATCAAATCAGTTTAGGAATAGGTAACTACCTTCATTTTCCCTGGATGCAAAATCTGGCCTCTGAAAAAAGACAAACATGATCATCCTGCACCATTCCCCATAGAATTTAGAATTTCACACTTAGTTTTTTCCCAAAAATATATTTTAGAGGTTCCCCTACCGGCCTAAAAGATGGCTTCAATGGCTTCCTAAAATAGAGAGGATTATGTGAGTTAAGTAATCCCTGAAACCAGACTTTTCCGGTGCTCTTCTAAGTGAACGAGCAGTCAGCAATGAACAGAAAATAAATTATATATGATTTTAGTGAGTGACACGTACGTCTCTCTGGGTATTGTTTTGGGAAGTGCGGGCAGTGGTTTCTCCGCTGACTTTGTACTGCCACCTAGGAGAACAGAGATGACATACAGTAAATTCACACATATAAAGTAAGTTCTGTTAAGTAACACAATGTTAAGTTATTTTATGCTCTTTACACTGTTTTAACTTCCATTCATTGTTATGTATGTTGTGTTGTGTCTCATGTACAGTGCCTTCAGAAAGTATTCACACCACTTGACTTTTTCCACATTTCGATGTGTTACAAAGTGGGATTAAAATGGATTAAATTGTCATTTTTTGTCAACGATCTACACAAAATACTCTGTAATGTCAAAATGGAAGAAAAATTATAACATTTATTTAAAAATATATGAAAAATAAAATACGAATATAACTTCATTACATATATATTCAACCCCCTGAGTCAATACATGTTAGAATCACCTTTGGCAGGGATTACAGCTGTGAGTCTTTCTGGGTACGTCTCTAAGAGCTTTGCACACCTGGATTGTACAGTATTTGCACATTATAATTTAATTTACTCTTCAAGCTCTGTCAAGTTGGTTGTTGATTATTGCTAGACAGCCATTTTCAAGTCTTGCCATAGATTTTCAAGCCGATTTATGTCAAAACTGTAACTAGGCCACTCAGGAACATTCAATGTTGTCTTGGTAAGCAACTCCAGTGCATATTTGGCCTTGTGTCTTAGGTTATTGTCCTGCTGAAAGGTGAATTTGTCTCCCAGTGTCTGCTGGAAAGCAGACTGAAGCAGGTTCTTCTTTAGGATTTTGCCTGTGATTTATCCTAAAAAACTCCCTAGTCCTTGCCGATGACAAGCATACCCATAACATGATGCAGCCACCACCATGCTTGAAAATATGAAGAGTTGGTACACAGTGATGCGTTGTGTTGGATTTGCCCCAAACATAACGCTTTGTATTCAGGACATAAAGTTCATTTCTTTGCCACATTTTTTGCAGTTTTACTTTAGTGCCTTATTGCAAACAGGATGCATGTTTAGGAATATTTTAATTCTGTACAGGCTTCCTTTTTGTCACTGTCATTTAGGTTAGTATTGTAAGCAACTACATTGCTCTTGATCCATTCTAAGGTTTCTCTTATCACAGCCATTAAACTTTGTAACTGTTTTAAAGTCACCATTGGCCTCATGGTGCAATCCCTGAGCGGTTCCTTCCTCTCTGGCAACTGAGTTAGGAAGGACGCCTGTATCTTTGTAGTGACTGGGTGTATTGGTAGACCATCCAAAGTGTAATTAATAACGTCACCATGCTCAAAGGGATATTCAATGTCTGCTTTTGTTTAATTACCCATCTACCAATATATGCCCTTCTTTGCGAGGCATTTGAAAACATCCCTGGTCTTTGTGGTTAAATCTGTGTTTAAAATTCACTGCTCGACTGAGGGACTTTACATATAATTGTATGTGTGAGGTACAGAGATGTGGTAGTCATTCAAAAATAATGCTAAACACTATTATTGCACACAAAGTGAGTCCATGCAACTTATTGTTGCATTTTTGCTTTGCATTTGGCAATCCACTAGATGGAATAATTAGCCAGTTGAAATAACTACCAATATAGTACATCAAATATTTTGAGGATATGGAACAATGGTCTTTGTTAATAGTTGTCTGTATTCTTTTAGAATGTATTATTGCCACATTAATGTTCAACGGTTTAGTCATTTGGCTGATGGTGGTAATATGGATGAATACATACTTTCATCTGGATTGCAGACTTCATATTCATCATCATCTATGGGCTCCTGGACCTGGATGACAATAATACTTTTTAATAAATAAGTGATTCCCGTGCTGATAATATCCAATCTTTACTGTTCTATTACTATCGCATCAAATAAAGTATTTGGGGTCAGGTACAAAGTCCAGAGTCTCTTTGGTACAGTAGCACTTACTGGGATGGGATGAAATGTCTTTATGTGCATTCTAGAGAGAGAAGAGAACATATTAATTATTAATGTTATTAATGTCAGTTAATTATTAATGTCAGTTTCCTTCATTGTTAGCACCTTGGGCTGGCTCTAGGGGGCAAACTCTGTGTAGGGAATCTGAGGAGTGTGGAAGGTCTGTAAAAAAAAACATATGTGAGAAAAAAGCTGTCATTTTTGTATCTTTTCCAATGGATAGATATTTAGATACTGTATTTCCGTCAGGGGAAATGTTGATCCCATTTGAGCCGGTCTGAAAAGTGCTACCATCCCTGAACCAGAACTGACCTGCTCACTGGGGGAGGAGAGTTTTCCTTTAGATAAAAGAGAAAATGGGACACCTCAAGCATAATCCTAAAGTCATTGCATAGTAATTTACTATGCTATTAATTGTAATGTATTAGCCATTGGTTATCAAACCCACCTCCATGTCAGGAACTTCATACACATCTGAAAAACAAAACAAAAAGGCTAAGCCTCAAAATTCTAACCCAGTCCGGCACACTAAGCACAATAAATGTAATGTGTTGAAATCTGTTGAAATTCAATCAATCCCCCCAATCAATTCCATATGTTGAGTGCCCCTGGTGAGATGCAGTTACATACCTAGGCCATTTGAGCACTCTGGCACAGTCTTGGACATTGAAGGTCTGCTCATTACTGGTTTGCCTCTTCCATGCATCGGACGGTCTGAAGGGAAGTTTACATGTGTATTGTATGTTGACATTAAGGTGTCTTGGTAAGGTTTGTCTGACAGTGATTGGCAACAGATACAATGTTTCATGGCACCTGTTTGTTGAAGATAATATAATTGAGGCACATAGTGTACTGTAGATATTGGTCTTATTTCCAGTGTCTGATTCATTTATTGGGATAGCTTACTAGCAGGCGATTCCTCTGTGGGGTTTATATAGTTGCCTTCATCGTCACTTTCTGGGTTGACGTAGTCTTCCTAAAGACAATGATCACACAATGTGTAATGAAAAAGTATGAGGCAAATAATCTGTCAATATGCTGTCATGAAGGTATGACAGATATCATACTGTCATGAAAACAGAAAGCAACTAGAATCATTCTTGTTTTGCCTAACTGCACATTACTTCATCATAGTCCTGCTGGTTGGGTTTGGGGGACAGTGATGGTGACGGGGATGGTTTGGTGGTCTTTGGAGGCCAGATGGGCTTCCTGGGTGGATGGTTTGGCCTGCTGCGGCAGCTGTCTAGAAATAGAAGCAAAAGCAGAAACAGGACATCAGTATTTGCATAACGCTACAACACGCCATCATTGCGGCGCTCTGTGTCTGTCACGGTCCACTGACTACCCACTGGGCACACACTGGTTGAATCAACGTTGTTTCCACGTCATTTCAAGCGGTCGCTCCAAAAGCTTATCAGCCAAAAGCTCCAAAAGCTTATTTCCTTCATGCATGCAAGCATGTCAAAATATGTGGTTTATATACAGTAGTCCTCCTAACATGAACTAAACACAGATTCTCCATGAAATAGATACATGTAGACAGAGGATAGAGTAGTCTTGAATAGCCAGACATGGCATTCTTTAATTTGTTAACTAGAAGCTTGGCATGCATGGCTGCATGATGGGTCATTTTGTGTGTGTGTGTGTGTGTGTACTGTGTGTGTACTGTGTGTGTGTGTGTGTGTGTGTATGTGTGTGTGTGAGTGTGTGTGTGTGTGTGTGTGTGTGTGTGTGTGAGAGAGAGTAGTAGTAGCTTTGTGTGGTTGTGTGTGTGTGCGAGTGCCTGCGTGTGTGCATGCCTGCATGGATGCGTACGTGTGTGTGTGTGGTAGAGTGGAAGAGTTCTCACCTACGTAGTCCCCCCTGGGAAAGGAGACAGACGAGGTGGAGGTGAAGACTCTCTGACTGGGAGGAGACTCATAGCTGTCATCCTTCTCCTCTTGAGGGTCCTCATAAGTGTCACTCTCCTGTAACATCATGAAATCGTTAAGATACTCAGACCAACAGCTTTGTGTGAATGACTAAAATGTAAATGTAAATGTAATGTAAAATGTAAACACTGAACAGCTGCTGACATTAGTGAAATTACTGTGGAAAGCAATGTCAGATGCAAGTTTATTTTAGAAGCATTTCTATAATATTGTAGTGTTTTAGAATCAATAAAGCATGTGGATTGAACTCACAAACTCATTTTCAGACCACTGTTCGCAGTCCACGTCATCACCTGTAAAGATAAATATAAAATAAGGGCCCCACAATATGAGATGCAAAGTCATTGGAAATTACAGTATTGGAAAGACATGCATCATAGCTTCTGAAATCATATTTTGAACATATTGCTGCGAAAATATTAATGACCACTGTCCCCAAAAACAAACTACTGTCACTATTAAATATATATATATGTATACAGTGGGGAGAACAAGTATTTGATACACTGCCGATTTTGCAGGTTTTCCTACTTACAAAGCATGTAGAGGACTGTAATTTTTATCATAGGTACACTTCAACTGTGAGAGACGGAATCTAAAACAAAAATCCTGAAAATCACATTGTATGATTTTTAAGTAAATAATTTGCATTTTATTGCATGACTTAAGTATTTGATCACCTACCAACCAGTAAGAATTCCGGCTCTCACAGACCTGTTAGTTTTTCTTTAAGAAGCCCTCCTGTTCTCCACTCATTACCTGTATTAACTGCACCTGTTTGAACTCGTTACCTGTATAAAAGACACCTGTCCACACACTCAATCAAACAGACTCCAACCTCTCCACAATGGCCAAGACCAGAGAGCTGTGTAAGGACATCAGGGATAAAATTGTAGACCTGCACAAGGCTGGGATGGGCTACAGGACAATAGGCAAGCAGCTTGGTGAGAAGGCAACAACTGTTGGCGCAATTATTAGAAAATGGAAGAAGTTCAAGATGACGGTCAATCACCCTCGGTCTGGGGCTCCATGCAAGATCTCACCTCGTGGGGCATCAATGATCATGAAGAAGGTGAGGGATCAGCCCAGAACTACACAGCAGGACCTGGTCAATGACCTGAAGAGAGCTGGGTCCACAGTCTCAAAGAAAACCATTAGTAACACACTACGCCGTCATGGATTAAAATCCTGCAGCGCACGCAAGGTCCCCCTGCTCAAGCCAGCGCATGTCCAGGCCCGTCTGAAGTTTGCCAATGACCATCTGGATGATCCAGAGGAGGAATGGGAGAAGGTCATGTGGTCTGATGAGACAGAAATAGAGCTTTTTGGTCTAAACTCCACTCGCCGTGTTTGGAGGAAGAAGAAGGATGAGTACAACCCCAAGAACACCATCCCAACCGTGAAGCATGGAGGTGGAAACATCATTCTTTGGGGATGCTTTTCTGCAAAGGGGACAGGACGACTGCACCGTATTGAGGGGAGGATGGATGGGGCTATGTATCGCGAGATCTTGGCCAACAACCTCCTTCCCTCAGTAAGAGCATTGAAGATGGGTCGTGGCTGGGTCTTCCATCATGACCACGACCCGAAACACACAACCAGGGCAACTAAGGAGTGGCTCCGTAAGAAGCATCTCAAGGTCCTGGAGTGGCCTAGCCAGTCTCCAGACATGAACCCAATAGAAAATCTTTGGAGGGAGCTGAAAGTCTGTATTGCCCAGCGACAGCCCCGAAACCTGAAGGATCTGGAGAAGGTCTGTATGGAGGAGTGGGCCAAAATCCCTGCTGCAGTGTGTGCAAACCTGGTCAAGATCTACAGGAAACGTATGATCTCTGTAATTGCAAACAAAGGTTTCTGTACCAAATATTATGTTCTGCTTTTCTGATGTATCAAATACTTATGTCATGCATAAAAATGGAAATTAATTACTTAAAAATCATACAATGTGATTTTCTGTATTTTTGTTTTAGATTCCGTCTCTCACAGTTCAAGTGTACCTATGATAAAACTTACAGACCTCTACATGCTTTGTAAGTATGAAAACCTGCAAAATCAGCAGTGTATCAAATATTTGTTCTCCCCACTGTATATATATATATATAATTATTTATTTGTTCTTATATACAGTGCCTTGCAAAAGTATTCGTCCCCCTTAGCATTTTTCCTATTTTGTTGCATTACAACCTGTAATTGAAATGGATTTTTATTTGGATTTCATGTAATGGACATACACAAAATAGTCCAAATTGGTAAAGTGAAATGAAAAAAATAACTTGTTTAAAAAAATTCAAATAAATAAATAACAGAAAAGTGGTGCGTGCATATGTATTCACCCACTTTGCTATGAAGCCCCTAAATAAGATCTGGTGCAACCAATTACCTTCAGAAGTCACATAATTAGTTAAATAAAGTCCACCTGTGTGCAATCTAAGTGTCACACGATCTGTCACATGATCTCAGTATACAGTCAGGTCCATAAGTATTTGGACAGTGACACAATTTGCATAATTTTGGCTCTGTACGCCACCACAATGGATTTGAAAGGAAACAATCAAGATGTGCTTTAAGTGTAAACTTTCATCTTTAATTTTTGTCAAAATTCTTGTATGAACCATGTAGGAATTACAACCATTTTTATACATAGTTCCCTAATTTTAGGGGCTCAAAAGTAATTGGACAAACTAACATAATCATAAATTCAGTTGTGAGTGTTAATACTTGGTTGGAAATCCTTTGCAGTCAATGACTGTCTGAAGTCTGGAACCCATTGACATCACCAGATGTTGGGTTTCTTCCCTGGTGATGCTCTGCCAGGCCTTTACTGCAGCTGTCTTCAGTTCCTGCTTGTTCTTGGGGGGTTTTGCCTTCAGTTTTGCCTTCAGCAAGTGAAATGCATGCTCAATTGGATTCAGGTCACCCTAGTCATAGACTGTTCTCTCTGCTACCGCAAGGCAAGCGGTACCGGAGTGCCAAGTCTAGGTCCAAAAGACTTCTCAATAGCTTCTACCCCAAGCAATAAGACTCCTGAACAGCTAATCATGGATACCCAGACTATTTGCACTGCCCCCGCCCCCCACCCCCATCTTTTTATGCTTACTCTGTTAATTATTTATGCATAGTCACTTTAACTCTCCCCACATGTACATATTACTTCAACTACCTCAACTAGCCGGTGCCCCCGCACATTGACTCTGCACCGGTACCCCCCTGTATGTATAGCCTCCCTACTGTTATTGTATTTTACTTCTGCTCTTTTTTTCTCAACAATTTTTTGTTTTATTCTACTTTTTTATTAAAAATAAATGCACTGTTGGTTAAGGGCTGTAGTAAGCATTTCACTGTAATGTCTGCACCTGTTGTATTCGGCGCATGTGGCCAATAAAATTTGATTTGATTTGAGGTCAGATGATTGACTTGACCATTGCAGAACATTCCACTTCTTTGCCTTAAAAAATATTTGGTTGCTTTCGCAGTCTGCTTCGGGTCATTGTCCATCTGCACTGTCAAGTGCCGTCCAATGAGTTTTGAAGCATTTGGCTGAATCTGAGCAGATAATATAGCCCTAAACACTTCAGAATTCATCCTGCTGCTTTTGTCAGCAGTCACATCATCAATAAATACAAGAGAACCCGTTCCATTGGCAGCCATACATGCCCACGACATAACAATACCTCCACCATGCTTCACAGATGAGGTGGTATGCTTCAGATGATGAGCAGTTCCTTCCTTTCTCATTTACATTTACATTTTAGTCATTTAGCAGACGCTCTTATCCAGAGCGACTTACAGGAGCAATTAGGGTTAAGTGCCTTGCTCAAGGGCACATTAACGTCATTTAGCAGACGCTCTTAGCCAGAGCGACTCACAAATTGGTGCGTTCACCCTATAGCCAGTGGGATAACCACTTTAAAATTGGGGGGGGGGGGGGGGTAGAAGGATTCCTTTATCCTATCCCAGGTATTCCTTAAAGAGGTGGGGTTTCAAATGTCTCCGGAATGTCTTTCAAATGTCTTTCTCAATACTCTTCTCTTCCCATCATTCTGGTACAAGTTGATCTTTGTCTCATCTGTCCATAGGATGTGGTTCCAGAACCGTACAGGGTTTTTTAGATGTTTTTTGGCAAACTCTAATCTGGTCTTCCTGTTTTTGAGGCTTACCAATGGTTTTCATCTTGTGGTAAACCCTCTGTAAGTCTTCTCTTGATTGTTGACTTTGACACAGATACGCCTACCTCCCGGAGGTTGTTCTTGATCTGGCCAACTGTTGTGAAGGGGCTTTTCTTCACCAGGGAAATCATTATTCTGTCATCCACCACAGTTGTTTTGCATAGTCTTCCGGGACTTTTGGTGTTCCTGAGCTCACCAGTGTGTTCTTTCTTTTTAAGAATGTACCAAATAGTTGATTTGGCCACACCTAATGTTTTTGCTATCTCTCTGATGGGTTTGTTTTGATTATTTAGCTTAATGATGGCTTGCTTCACTGGCAGTGAAAGCTCTCGGACTTCATATTGAGGGTTAACAGCAACAGATTCCAAATGCAAATGCCACACTTGAAATCAACTCTAGACCTTTTATCTGCTTACTTGTAAATTAACTAATTAGGGAATAGCACACACCTGGCCATGGAACAGCTGAGCAGCCAATTGTCCAATTACTTTTGGTCCCTTAAAAAGGGGGGAACCACATATAAAAAGTCCTGTAATTCCTACACCGTTCACCCGATTTGGATGTAAATACCCTCATATTAAAGCTGAAAGTCTGCACATTCAGCTCATATTCATTATTTAATTTCAACTCCAATATGCTGTGGTAGACAGCTAAAATAATAATAACTTGGTCAATGTCCAAATATTTATGGACCTGACTGTATATACACCTGCAACACCACTAAGCAAGGGGCACCACCAAGCAAGCGGCACCATGAAGACCAAGGAGCTCTCCAAACAGGTCAGGGACAAAGTTGTGGAGAAGTACAGATCAGGGTTGGGTTATAAAAAAATATCAGAAACTTTAAACATCCTACGGAGCACCATTAAATCCATTATTAAATAATTGAAATAATATGGCACCACAACAAACCTGCCAAGAGAGGGCCACCCACCAAAACACACGGACCAGGCAAGGAGGGCTTTAATCAGAGAGGCAACAAAGAGACCAAAGATAACCCTGAAGGAGTTGCAAAGCTCCACAGCGGAGATTGGAGTATCTGTCTACAGGACTTTAAGCCGTACACTCCACAGAGCTGGGCTTTACGGAAGAGTGGCCAGAAAAAAGCCATTGCTTAAAGAAAAAAATAAGCAAACACGTTTGGTGTTCGCCAAAGGTAATGTGGGAGACTCCCCAAACATATGGAAGAAGGTACTCTGGTCAGATGAGACTAAAATTGAGCTTTTTGGCCATCAAGGAAAATGCTATGTCTGGCGCAAACCCAACACCTCTCATCACCCCGAGAACACCATCCCCACAGTGAAGCATGGTGGTGGCATCCCCACAGCATGATACTGCCACCACCATGCTTCACTGTGGGGATGTTTTTCATCGGCAGGGACTGGGAAACTGGTCAGAATTGAAGGAATAATGGATGGCGCTAAATACAGGGAAATTCTTGAGGGAAACCTGTTTCAGTCTTCCAGAGATTTGAGACTGGGACGGAGGTTCACCTTCCAGCAGGACAATGACCCTAAGCATACTGTTAAAGCAACACTTGAGTGGTTTAAGGGGAAACATTTAAATGTCTTGGAATGGCCTAGTCAAAGCCCAGACCTCAATCCAATTGAGAATCTGTGGTATGACTTAAAGATTGCTGGACACCAGCGGAACCCATCCAACTTGAAGGAGCTGGAGCAGTTTTGCCTTGAAGAATGGGCAAAAATGCCAGTGGCTAGATGTGCCAAGCTTATAGAGACATACCCCCAAGATACTTGCAGCTGTAATTGCTGCAAAAGGTGGCTCTACAAAGTATTGACTTTGGGGGGTGAATAGTTATGCACGCTCAAGTTTTCTGTTTTTTTGTCTTATTTCTTGTTTGTTTCACAAGAAAAAATATTTTGCATCTTCAAAGTGGTAGGCATGTTGTGTAAATCAAATGACACAACCCCCCAAAAAATCCATTTTAATTTCAGGTTGTAAGGCAACAAAATACCAAAAATGCCAAGGGGGGTGAATACTTTCAATACTTCAAGGGCCACATTGTGAGACATGAAGAAAGGTCTTACCTTGATAGTCTCTTACAGGTACTTTTGGAGCTGACTTGTTTTTAAATCTACAGTACAGACAGACCAGTTAGGAGTAAAAGCCAAAGTTTTATAATAATAATAATAAAATAATATGCCATTTAGCAGACGCTTTTATCCAAAGCGACTTACAGTCATGCGTGCATACATTTTTGTGTATGGGTGGTCCCGGGGATCGAACCCATTACCTTGGCGTTACAAGCGCCGTGCTCTACCAGCTGAGCTACAGAGGACCACGCTCAAGTGGGTTTAGAAACAAGAATGGGCTTGACTATTTTTAGACATTCAACTTTGGGCCTGAAGAGTGATTGTACACATTAACGGTAACCCTCCCAGTTCTATGTAGTATCACAACCTGCTCATTCTGAAACTTATGTCAGTTCTTCATTATCTATCACAGAATACTTTAGTTCTACAGCATGTTTACATTTACAGTTGTGTGCCAGTGGCTCCTTTTCAAGGAGGTAAAGAGAGAGAGTAAAGCCATGCACATGTTTTTCTGTTTGTCTATTTTCAGATCGAGAGACTACTTATATTTTCCTAACAGTTGAAGAAAGAGGAATAGCCACCTATCACCAAGGTTACTATAGTAAACTAAAATTGAAACTAAAACGAATCATGAAAAAACAATTTAGTAACTGAAATAAAATAATGAACAAACCTGTTTGAAAAACTAAAACTATACTGAAACTGTTATCTTGGACTCAAGTACTAACTGAAATAAAATAAAAACCATTATGAATTATGTTTAGTTTTATTAATTTTTCTGAACTTTGTGCAAAAATCGAATGGGGTTTTCAAGCTTTTTGGATGTTTACTGAATCTGGCAGTTAAATGCGGTAAGGCAATGGCTATGTTTCAAAAAGGCCTGGCTTGTGCATCACTATCACTAGCTATCGCTAGCTAACCGGCAAAAAATCGTCTTGGTAGCTAGTTTGATTCTTCTTACATGTGCTACGAATGTTAAAAAGCATTAGATTGGCGTAAACATGGACGAGATCAAGTTTATTTCCACCATATTTTTTGTCTCTGGGCTATTCCTTTTAAATCCAAGTCACATTGAGATTTACTTTATAATTTAAACTTAACCAAACCTATTACTCCCCCCACCCCCCCAAAAATGAACTATGCAACACAAATGGCTCCTAGCCTCCCATGCATGCTTTCTGTCCCTAACACTAAAACCAAAACCGAATATATACAACTAAAACAAAATAAAAACTAGCAAATCAGGTCTGAAAACTAACTGAAACTAAACAGAATTCCAAATAATCCAAAAAACTAAACGAAATAAAAACGAATTAGAAAACTTTAATAACCTTGCTTATCACCACAAAGAACATTGAAGAAATTATACCATGTGAGCGCACTGCACTCTCAGCTGAACTGAGTTGTATTTCCAATGCCATACACACTGTTCTTGTTCCCACATATAGAGATGCTGGAATCTCATTCCCCTCATATACTGCATTTCAGATAAATGCCAACCTCTACCTCATCAGTGTAACGTATAACTCATTGTATGGAACTATGAGCACAACTGGTGTCCTTGCGAACTTGTGGGTAACAGAGAATAGTGTTAAGCGGTGCTCTCTGTTTATGGAGTGTCAAACATTTATTTTGATAAACTGACCTTCTCAGCCTGTTTAGGATACTGCCATCATTGTTCTTGATATCCTGGACCATCTTCTGAAGCTGGCTGGAAGACACGTTTAAAGCTTCTCATTAAAGGTATCATATTCAACAAAAATCATACAGTGTTCATAAACGTAATACAGTACATAACTGTTAATACCATTTGGAGACAATAACACGTGCTAGACAAAATGTTACAGTGCATTTGGAAAGTATTCAGACCCCTTCCCTTTTTCCATATTTTGTTACGTTACAGCCTTATTCTAAAATGGATTAAATAAAACATTTTCCTTATCAATCTACGCACAATACCACATAATGACAAAGCGAAAACAGGTTTTTAGAGAATTTTGCAAATGTATTAAAAACAAAAAAACAGAAATACCTTATTTACATAAGTATTCAGACCCTTTGCTATGAGACTTGAAATTGAGCTCAGGTGAATCCTGTTTCCAATGATCATCCTTGAGATGTTTCTACAACTTGATTGGAGTCCACCTGTGGTAAATTCAATTGATTGGACATGATTTGGAAAGGCACACACCTGTCTACAGTGAGGGAAAAAAGTATTTGATCCCCTGCTGATTTTGTACGTTTGCCCACTGACAAAGGCATGATCAGTCTATAATTTTAATGGTAGGTTTATTTGAACAGTGAGAGACAGAATAACAACACAAAAATCCAGAAAAACGCATGTCAAAAATGTTATAAATTGATTTGCATTTTAATGAGGGAAATAAGTATTTGACCCCTCTGCAAAACATGACTTAGTACTTGGTGGCAAAACCCTTGTGGGCAATCACAGAGGTCAGCCGTTTCTTGTAGTTGGCCACCAGGTTTGCACACATCTCAGGAGGGATTTTGTTCCACTCCTCTTTGCAGATCTTCTCCAAGTCATTAAGGTTTCGAGGCTGACGTTTGGCAACTCGAACCTTCAGCTCCCTCCACAGATTTTCTATGGGATTAAGGTCTGGAGACTGGCTAGGCCACTCCAGGACCTTAATGTGCTTCTTCTTGAGCCACTCCTTTGTTGCCTTGGCCGTGTGTTTTTGGTCATTGTCATGCTGGAATACCCATCCACGACCCATTTTCAATGCCCTGGCTGAGGGAAGGAGGTTCTCACCCAAGATATGACGGCACATGGCCCCGTCCATCGTCCCTTTGATGCGGTGAAGTTGTCCTGTCCCCTTAGCAGAAAAACACCCCCAAAGCAAAATGCCCAAGAGCTTGATATTGGTCTCATCTGACCACAACACTTTCATTCAGATGTTCATTGGCAAACTTCAGACGGCCCTGTATATGTGCTTTCTTGAGCAGGGGGACCCTGCGGGCGCTGCAGGATTTCAGTCCTTCACGGCGTAGTGTGTTACCAATTGTTTTCTTGGTGACTATGGTCCCAGCTGCCTTGAGATCCTCCTGTGTAGTTCTGGGCTGATTCCTCACCGTTCTCATGATCATTGCAACTTCACGAGGTGAGATCTTGCATGGAGCCCCAGGCAGAGGGAGATTGACAGTTATTTTGTGTTTCTTCCATTTGCGAATAATCGCACCAACTATTGTCACCTTCTCAACAAGCTGCTTGGCGATGGTCTTGTAGTCCATTCCAGCCTTGTGTAGGTCTACAATCTTGTCCCTGACATCCTTGGAGAGCTCTTTGGTCTTGGCCATGGTGGAGAGTTTGGAATCTGATTGATTGATTGCTTCTGTGGACAGGTGTCTTTTATACAGGTAACAAGCTGAGATTAGGACCACTCCCTTTAAGTGTGTGCTCCTAATCTCAGCTCGTTACCTGTATAAAAGACACCTGGGAGCCAGAAATCTTTCTGATTGAGAGAGGGTCAAATACTTATTTCGCTCATTAAAATGCAAATCAATTTATAACATTTTTGACATGCGTTTTTCTGTATTTTTTCGTTGTTATTCTGTATCTCACTGTTCAAATAAACCTACCATTAAAATTATAGACTGATCATTTCTTTGTCAGTGGGCAAACGTACAAAATCAGCAGGGGATCAAATACTTTCTTCCCTCACTGTATATAAGGTCCCACAGTTGACAGTGTATGTCAGAGCAAAAACCAAGCCATGAGGTCGAAGGAATTGTCCGTAGAGCTCCGAGACAGGATTGTGTCGAGGCACCGATTTGGGGAAGGGTACCAAAAAATGTATGCAGCATTGAAGGTCTCCAAGAACACAATGGCCTCCATCATTCTTACATTGAAGACGTTTTGAACCCCCAAGACCCTTTTTAGATCAATCGGGGGAGAGGGGCCTTGGTCAGGGAGGTAACCAAGAACCCGATGGTCACTCTGACAGAGCTCCAAAGTTCCTCTGTGGAGATGGGAGAACCTTCCAGAAGTACAACCATCTCTGCAGCACTCCACCAATCAGGCCTTTATGGTAGAGTGGCCAGACGGAAGCCACTCCTTAGTAAAAGGCACATGAACGCCCACTTGGAGTTTGCCAAAAGGCACCTACAGGACTCTCACACCATGATAAACAAGATTCTCTGGTCTGATGAAACCAAGAATGAACTCTTTGGCCTGAATGCCAAGCGTCACGTCTGGAGGAAATCTGGCACCATCCCTATGGTGAAGCTTGGTGGTGGCAGCATCATGCTGTGGGGATGTTTTTCAGCAGCAGGTACTGGGAGACTAGTCAGGGTTGAGGGAAAGATGAACAGAGCAAAGTACAGAGAGATCCTTGATGAAAACCTGCTCCAGAGCACTCAGGACCTCAGACTGCGGCGAAGGTTCACCTTCCAACAGGACAACGACCCTAAGCACACAGCCAAGAAAACGCAGGAGTGGCTTCGGGACAACTCTCTGAATGACCCTGAGTGGCCCAGGCAGAGCCCGGACTTGAACCCGATCGAACATCTCTGGAGAGACCTGAAAATAGCTGTGCAGGGACGCTCCCCATCCAACCTGACAGAGCTTGAGAAGAGAGATGAAAATAGCTGTGCAGGGACGCTCCCCATCCAACCTGACAGAGCTTGAGAGGATCTGCAGAGAAGAATGGGAGAAACTCCCCAAATACAGGTGTGCCAAGCTTTTAGCGTCATACCCAAGAAGACTTGAGGCTGTAATTGCTGCCAAAGTTGCTTCAACAAAGTACTGAGTAAAGGGTCCGAATAATTATGTAAATTAAATATTTGCTAAAATTTCTAAAAACCTGTTTTTGCTTTGTCATTATGGGGTATTTTGTGTATATTGATGAGGGAAAAAATAATGTAATCCATTTTAGAATAAGGCTGTAACATAACATAATGTGTAAATAGTCAAGGGGTCTGAATACTTTCTGAATGCACTGTATATTGATACTATTATGGCATGGTCTAAATATATGGCTCTGGCATAGTCTATTGCAGGCTGCGGAACACTGAAAATATGTAAACTTCAACATGGAATAAAACCATAGTTGCAGTCTTTCAGAGTCAACTTTCCATGCTGGCTAGCACTTGGAGGTGTGAATAAGGTTCACACCCATACACACTCAAACTCACTCAATCACTGTAGCCTACATGCAATTACAGATTGAGAGCATGAGGGAGACAGGTGTGAGACGTGTAATTACAGTAACATCCACATTAGTCAGTCTTCTCTTACCACATTCCCTCTCACTTTTCAATTTTGTATTACTAGTAACTTAGATTTTGATTTATGTAACAGCCAACCAGAGCATCATAAATAAATGGTTTTTGCTTAAACACAGTTTACTGTTTAACTTAATCTGGATGGTATAGTTTCTGTGGCCTACAATAAGCTGCAGATAAAAATGGTTTGGTAAATGTATTATTGTGAGCATTGCAGAAAACAATGGAACAGATGTACAGTATTATTACTGGTTGGAACTTAGCGTATATACTTATATATTTACAGTAGGCATTTTTTTAGTTGCCAGTTTCCACTATGTCATCTATAGAAATAGGTCATCATTGAATAATAGCCTGAATTTAAATTGTAAAAAGGTTTGGTTTGGTTCTGATTACAAAGGTTAACAATATAACATTTTTCCAAGTGTTACAAATACATTGCCCAACATAACATTGCATACAAATATGGGTATCTCTTACCGAAGTTTTACACTTGCAGGAGCTGTGAACTTGTTAAATGTATCCATATCTTAATGAGTAAATTGACCCGAGAGGCCACCTGCTGCATCTAGCTACTATCCAGCTCAATGTTTGCGTTGTGAATGAACTCACTGACACTGGCTGCCTGCCTAAAATGTCATCATAGCGGAGGGAAAATACTAACACCTCTGCAAGAACAATCACTTCTCCTTTCCACTTCTTGAGTTTGGTCATGAAGACAATTCTGTTTTCTGTGTAATTTGGATTTACACAATAACATTTCCACCACAAAACAACATGGCAGATTAGAAAGATAAATATTGCCCTATGCTGTGAACATCCTCTGACCAGCCAGCACAGTAAACAGAGAGGGGAGCCTTTACTGACATTTCTCTTTAGGAACATCTGACGAACTGCGGTGAACCAACTGCAATTGTCCAAGAGATGGAAACACACAATGGTTGCTAAAATACTAAGAAAACATCATCCAAAGCCAATGTTAAAACGACTACCTGATGCTTTTGCTGTGCAATATACAGGCTCAGTCTGTTGGACATTCAGGAATATTTTTCAATAAGGGTTCTAGTCTGGGTTCAAGCTGTGTTTTTACGTGGTATTAGGCTCAATTTGCATTGGAACATACAGTATATTTGTTTGAACTAGCAAATTACATGGGTTGACAGTGCACTCTAGTTTATCAATGATAAAAGTAAAAAAGCTCACATTCCTATTTTCAGGGGTCTGAATTGTTACAATATTCTGTTTCTGTTTGTGGGATCATTTGTTCCAACAGGCAAGACAACATAAATGTTTGATAACATGACTTTGAACCTGGTCGTGACCTCTTTGAACTTCTACCCATTAGCCACAAGCCTACCCATATGAGCAGAAATTAGACATAGCCTACACTCTTAGAAAAAAAGAACCAAAAAGGGTTATTCGGCTGTCCCCATAGGAGAACCATTTGAAGAACCCCTGTTTAGTTCCAGGTAGAACCCTTTTGGTTCCAGGTAGAAACCTTTTGGGTTCCATGTAGAACCTTTCCTCAGAGTGTTCTACATGGAACCCAAAATAGGTCTACCTGGAACCAAAAAGGGTTCTATCTGGAACCAAAAAGGTTTCTGCTATGGGGACAGCCGCAGAACCATTTTGGAACCCTTTTTTTCTAGGAGTGTAATAGTACACTATTGTAGCTCATAAGCAAGTACGGTTTCTGTTTCACATACCTTGTCAGTTGACTCATGTTGCTTATTCAGAAGAGTAGCTATCTCTGGAGCTGTGGTTAGTTAGCCACGAAGCGTAACAAATGAGAATAGTAACTATTACACGCCTAACAGATCCTGATCAGGAGGAGAGCCCGTTTTACATTTCCCTCTAGAGCTCTGGCTCCCTAATATACCATCTGTTTGGATTCTCTATCAGATATCAAACAAACCAAACAATAAAACAACAGTAGAAACACTGAAACAAGGCAGGGCAATCATGAACACAATGGTGTGAGGCTCAATTGCTTATTCAGCTTCCTTATTGCACAAGTTTATGATTAACCACATGAAAACTGGAACTCACAAGGAAAGAGTTCACAGTAAATGCATCAGCCTACTAATATAGATTGACCATTTTTACCTCGGGGAGCAAAGTGAGAGGCACATGCACGCACACGCACACGCACGCGCGCACACACACACACACACACACACACACACACACACACACACACACTCTCTCTCTTTGTCTCACACACACCTGCTTTGCAGTGCTCTCTTTGTACTTGCCTGAAAGGCCTCAGCTATCCGCTGTGTTCACATGAGGGAAGACCACGAGAGAGGAAGACAGAGAGAGAGAAATAGAAAAGAGGGTTACTCACGGTTGATGGATGAGGCTGAACCTGGTCATATCACTGTCAGACAGATTCTGTAAAAGTAAGAGAAGCAGAAAGATAGAAGATAAATATAAATTTACATTTGTTTTTTACAAATCTGTCACATTTTCAAATCTCTGTGTTCTTTACTGTAACTGAATGTGTTGTTATGTTGGGTTTTGTAAAATAACATTTCAATCTGTCATTCTGTTTTACAAAACATGCTGCAATATGTTGATTGAAGGTGGATACAAGTTGAGTAATATATAACTGTGATAGCAGAGTAGATCAGTGTTTCCCAACCAGAGGTACTATGACCCCTGGGGGTACTTGGCCTATCCACAGGGGGTACTTAAGAAGACTCATGAGACCATAGGCTTACTGGTAGAATGCACATGAAGGGGTACTTCAAGGGTATTCTGGGCAGATCTAAATGTAGTTGGTGGTACAGTAACCGAAAAAAGGTTGAGAACCACTGGAGTAGCTGATACAATAGTAGAGACCAGTTATGGAATGTATCACTTCTTACCTTACACTAGATGGCAGCATGACGCTAAAACAGCTAAAAGCCTTTGCTGCATGCTTGCTTTTAATCTGAAAATGATCGTTATTGTATGGCCCTACTTGTGCACATTGATCCGGTGCAGGTTACAATCAATCTTATTTTGTCCATAATTTGTTTACTAAATGTTTCATTCCAGTCCCGTGACATGTTATCTTTGAAATAATTCCGATGACATATCTGAATGTCTACTCACACACATCCCTCAATAAATGTTCTAGACTCTAGAGCGTACCCCTCTTACCCCTTCACAGTAGCAGGATACATATGCAAATAAAAGATGACGGGTCATTGGTCAGAATAATCAGATCAGATTGTGAGGTTCAAGGACAAGGTAGCTGTTCTGGAAAGAGCCAAGAATTTGAGAGGAACATACATCTTCCTCAACGAGGACTATCCTGAAGCTGTGCGCCAGAAGAGAAAATATGTTATGGTGGCCATGAAAGCTGCCAGAGCATGATGGGAGTGCTAGGACTGTGGCAGTCACAAAATGTTGTCAGCCGGTCTAAAGAAGCATGATATGACCAGTGGTGTAGTGGAGGGTATACGCAGGTATACGCAGTATGCCCACTTATTTTTCAGTGGGCATTTCGTACACTCACTTCTTAATCCCCACTGATGTGTATCAAAGTAGTGTGGTGGAGGTATACGCCATCTCAATTAATAAGGCTGATGGAACTGATCAGAATGTTTAGCTTAAAATGTTGACAAACTATTATTTCTCCACATTTTACGCGCAGCAATGTGCACACGGCGGAAGGCCTACGCGTGAACGTTCTAACACGCGATTGCGGAATAAACACCGTTCTAAAAATGCGCACCGCACATACGAGTGGTTTCATGGACAGAGATGGAAATATCCGTTAGAAATGTAGAAAGAGGTGGGATTTAAAGATGCAACAACTGTAATGTGTTGCTAATATGACTATGCCTTTGGCTGCTAGACAATGAAAGAAAGTTGAACAGGAGAACGCATAATGAGTATGTCTTTATAAAAATAATTGCCTCCACGTTTCTATGGTGGGATTTTGGCTATAGGCTACTACTTTGAAGCTAGGTAAGACATGCATCACATAATGAAGTAAAACGTTCAGGTGTCAAATAATTAAGGAACAGGAAAAATATAGCACTGCTAATGATAGGTCTAACTGTCTTCTGGTAGATGGAAAGGCTTTCCCAAAAATCTCCTTTATTAAATGTTAACTAGCTACAAAGTAGCCTATGCCTACCTGTCAGAATGATATGATGATTATTTGTATCAATCTAGTGTCCTTTTTTTTTTTGCGTACTCCATCTCATGTGCAACAGAAACACCACTAACCAAACAAAAGTGCCTGCACACTTGAATTAAAGGACAACTACACTCAAAAATCAAAATGTCTTCAAAAGTGGTCTCCTGATGTTGTTCAAGCATTGTTATGGACTTAGAATATACAATTGTGATTTTCTTCTGTAAAAAAAACTGTGAGAGCAAAAACCTGAAAAAATGGGGGAAAATCTGAAACCTTTGAATTTCTGACTCATTCAGAGTGTATGTCACTGTTTTTCATAGAACTTTTCACACAGGGCGCCTTTCCTTCGCCGGGCGCGCCATTTGGACATTTCTTGGCAAAATTAGAGTATACCCACTTCTCCAGGCAAAATTAGAGTATACCCACTTCTCCAGGCACCACTACACCACTGGATATGACCTTTTAGACAGGACTAAAGAAGCATGATATGAAGAAAATGTAGTCTATTTCAGAAGAACAGAATAGCATACTCTGAGTTGTCCTTACGTTGGCTATGCCAAATGGCTGTGGGCTACACTAGTTCATTTAGCAGACAAGATTTGCTTATAATTCCGTGGCATTATTTTATATAATTTTATAATATGAAGAATACAATTGAACAAAGCTGAATAAAATTTTTCCAAGCGATTTGAGGGAGTGCGCACATGCGGCTATTCTGTGTTGAGCGGTTAACAAAGAAATATGTACTCCTATAGTTTAATTTAGAGTTATTAATATAACTTTAGTTGTTCTACAAACGTTGGGCTATATGTTTTGATTTTTAATACATTGTAAGGCATGATGAGACTAATGATGATTAAAAAAAAGTCACTTGAAAGGCATGAGCTTCTGTTTTTTGAGCAGGCTGTGCACACTCCAATAGTCTCTCATTCACAATTTGACAAGCACCTGATAATGCCTCGAATTTTACTGCGGCATCCCCTTTGTGGCCGTAATGCACCCTAAAAAAAAAACATGCCTTTTGCAGCCCGGAGTGCTGCGTTGTGCCCTTCTCCCTGAGTGTGCTGCGCAATCCGAAGCGCATCTCACTCTCATGGCTCTCCATCACGTGATCGGGTCTTTCTCACAGGCTACAATTGAAGACAGGCACATCCGGGCGCAGCTGTGTGTGTCCTTATCCAATTCCGAGGTGCATATTGAAGATATTGGAAGAACTGTCCACATTTCCCTTTCGTCAGCCAACAAGATGAGTAGGCCTAACGAACAGCAAATGCACTAGCCTATGTAAATCTACTATCCCCGTAGTACAAAAGTTGACCTATTCTATTCTGTGCGAGAAAAAACTGGGACAGTTGTGGGATGCGATAGATCCCAAATTAATACAACCACTAGCATCAAAAAACCTTTTTTATGCAATGTGGCTGACGCAACAGATCAGAGCGTTTAGCTTAAAATGTTGATAAACTATTAGGCTATTTCTTCACATTATAAGCGCAGCAATGCGCAAATGGTATTAGGCTATAAGCGCGAATATTCCATTAGCGGAAAACGGCATTATCAAAAGTGACCGCAAATGCAATTATGCATGTAATGCTTTTATTATAAAGGTGTATTTTTATGGTGAAAATTATCTTCCCCAAACTTGAAACTCACGCGCTGCTTATATATGCCAGTTAGGCTCTACACCCCTTGTATTTTATTTATTTATTTATTTCACCTTTATTTAACCAGGTAAGCCAGTTGAGAACAAGTTCTCATTTACAACTGTGACCTGGCCAAAATAAAGCAAAGCAGTGCGATAAAAACAACAACACAGAGTTACATATGGGGTAAACAAACATAAAGTCAAAAATACAACAGAAAATATATATACAGTGTGTGCAAATTTCGTATTAACACTGGAATGATAGATGTGCAAAAGATGATGTGCAAATAGAGATACTGGGGTGCAAATTAGCAAAATAAATAACAATATGTGCATGAGGTAGTTGGATGGGCTCATTTCAGAATGGCTGTGTGCAGGTGCAGTGATCGGTAAGCTGCTCTGACAACTGACGCTTAAAGTTAGTGAGGGAGATAAGAGTCTCCAGCTTCAGAGATTATTGCAGTTCATTCCAGTCATTGGCAGCAGAGAACTGGAAGGAATGGCGGCCAAAGGAGGTGTTGGCTTTGGGGATGACCAGTGAGATATACCTGCTGGAGCGCAGACTACGGGTGGGTGTTGCTATGGTGACCAGTGAGCTAAGATAAGATGGGGATTTGCATAGCAGTGATTTATAAATGACCTGGAGCCAGTGGGTTTGGCGACGAATATGTAGAGAGGGCCAGCCATGCGGATTAATGGGCTTAATTTTAAGAAGTTATTTGCCCACTTTAGTTGTGATATAAACCTTATTAAAATATATAGGCGTATGGGCTAGGCTACATGAGGTGTCGCAAAAAAAAGGCATTGTTTCTTATGCTGGGAATCATTCACAAGTGATAATATATAATTCACAAGTGATAGGCTAATATTGTCACCCATCAGACTATTCTTGATTTAATCTTGTCTTTACATATACCAAATAAAATATGTGTGACATTTGTTTTGATTTAGAATGGACCATTATCATGCACCTGTATCGAAACAGGGGCAGTGGGAAAAAAATACATGTAATCTATGCACTTAAATAGCGAATGGAGGACGCTTTCCCCCGTAGTTTATTTTCATGCCAGCCAGGTAGGCTATACTCCTGCTGTAAATATAAGCAATGTGCTAAATATTAGGAAAGTTGAG